ATTCTCAGGCTCAAGGCAAAATTATTCTTGCAATGGATCTCTCCTTTGGCAACAAAGGTATTGGTCACTCCGAGCACGACGAGCCCACTGCTGTCCGACGTTACTGTCCAACAGTAATGATCTGCCCGGCATTTTCAATTTGTGGCCTATTTTCCCATCAAGCCACATCAGTATGCTAGTTGGCTACAGAAGACACACTGGAAAGTGTGCACTGGCTCACTAACAGGGTGACCCGTTTAAAGCCAAAGGAGCCTTGATCCTATTGCCACAAGTGATTAAACCACCTGGAGTGGATAACACTTTCACGTTCATAGCATCCTTTTAGTCAAGTACTGCTCTCGTGCACTAGCTAGCTCTTCACCTGGAAGTTTAAGGGTAGCCGCAGAAAAAGGCCTCCTATAGCCCAAGTTTAAAACACTTCGTATATTGTTTTCTTGGATAGACCCAGAAGAGAATGTCCCACCCTTGGAAATAAGAATATGTTTGTTCTCTTTAAAGCTACTCAAGAAGCCCGAAAAGGGAGAGGAAAAAGAATTAGACAAAAGAGAAAAAGCCAAGAAACTGGACAAAGAGAATCTGAATGATGAAAGAGCCAGCGGGCAAAGTTGTGCACTGCCCAAGCGCTCTGACGGCGAGCCTAAAGACGAAAAGCCTAAGAGGTCAGTGGCCGAGGGCCCTTTGGTTCACTCTGTTTTCGGCGGGTATCCACATGCTAGTTTAACCACTGTGTCCTGAACTCGTGTCTGAAGTGGGGGGGAGGGCGGGGGCGGCGGGAGGGTGAGGAGGAAAGGTTTCAGATAGTCTAGTCTTAGTCCGGGCGAATGTACTTTGGGTTTTGTTCTTGGTTTTCAAAACGCTCGCTTTGTTTGTTTTCACCCTGCTCCAAATGCGTACTTGTCGTCGCTGGTCCTAATGCATCCTAACCCGAGTGCCCCTGCGCAAGCACGCAAGCGAGCAGGTGGCATTTGGGGGCACCATCTGAAATCTGTTCCCCACGCAGGCCTGAAGATGAGAGCGGCAGAGACTACCGGGACCGGGACAGGGACCGCGACCGCGACCGGGACTACGAGCGGGACCAGGAGCGCCTCCTGCGGGAAAGGGAGAGGCTGAAGCGGCAGGAGGAGGAGCGCCGCAGGCAGAAGGAGCGCTATGAGAAGGAGAAGGCGTTTAAGAGGAAGGAAGACGAGATGAAAAAAGAGAAAGAAGCGGTTCGGGACAAAGGAAAGAAGGCCGAAAGCACCGAATCCGTAGGCAGCTCCGAAAAGACTGAAAAGAAAGAGGAAGTGGTTAAGAGAGATCGCATAAGAAACAAGGTGCTGCTTTTCGTTCTGTTTCTTCCCATGAGGACCTTTGCTCTCCCCTTGCCCCCGCGTAAAGGCAAAGGCCAGCTTGCCGTTCGGGAGCTTTGTTTCGGTCTCAGTTGGGTCCTTTGATTACCTTCTTGTAGACAAAACGTACACAACAGTAGAACAGAGACGAACACGACACACCAGTCCCCCAGCTTCAGCACTTACCAGCCCTCCTACCCCGCCCGTCCATCCCTGCCCCTGCTGATTAGCTTCAGGCAAATCCTAGACCGACAATTGCTTCTTTACATACATCAATATTAGAGACACAGATTCTTTTTGTTACTATAACCCCCGGTAGCATTTTCACACCAACCCCCCCACCCCTACTAGTAATTCTTAGCAACCTATCTACTGTGTTTTTCCCAATCATTCTCACCAGTAATTTCTTTATAGGCTCTAAACAAGGTCCGCAGATTGTATTGTATCCTTCGGTCTCTTTTAATCTAAACAATCCTCCCCCCCCTTGTTTTCCTGCCATTTATTTGCTGCAAAGACCAGTTTGCCCTGTGGAACTGTCAGCTCTAAGTTGGATGGGCTAACTCTCTCCCCGTGGTGTCATTTAACATGTTTGTCTGTCTTCTATGTTTCCTTGAAACCTGGTAGTTATATCTAGGGCAGGGGTCGGCAGATTTTTTCCCTGTACAGGGCCAGATGGTAAATATTGTAGGCCTTGTGGGCCATATGGTGTCTATGACACCCACTAAGCTCTGTAGAAAAGCAGTAGATAATATGAAGAGTGAGTACGGCTGTGTGCCAGACTCTTTTCATAAAAACCGGCGGCCCCTCACCCACAGGCCTGAGTACATTCAGGCTCAATTTTTGGCAAGAACACTTCATAGGCGGAGGGGCGCCTGAGTGGCTCGGCCGGTAGAGCACGCGACTCTTGAGCTCGGGGTTGTGAGTTTGAGCCCTGTGTTGGGTATAGAGATTACTTAAAAGTAAAATCATAAAAGAAAAAAAAAAGAGTACCTCATAGATGGTGTTGTGTACTTCCCACTGCATGATCCCAGGAAACCTGTGAGACCTGGGTGTCCCGTTAGTGTCATGTTATGATCCATCAGTGGCCATCGTGTTGCGGTTGTGGAATAGGATGTCCTTGTTCTTAGAATACACAGGCTGAAATATTTAAGGATGAAGGGTCATGGTGTGTTCAACGTACTCTCAAATGCCAAATAATGTATGTACGTGTGTACTCGAGGCAGAAAAAGCACAGGACAAAATGTTAATAATTGCGGATCCAGGAGAAGGGTATTGGTGTTCATTATACAGGTTTTGCAACATGTCTATAGATTTAAAATTTCTCAAGGTGAAAAAATTGAAAACAACCGATCAGTAGGTTCAGGTATTGTAAGCCTGATCCATGTATTCTAAGCATTTGTAGCCTGAAATTCAGTTTTTCCAGGAAAGGCAAAATACACACTTGATCCTTTCCCTTTATGCACCGGCATTCAGAGTAATGAGTCAGGGACCCCAGCAACCTCTAGGTCATCCGCAAGTTTCATCTTGTCACGAGAACTTATGGGTTTAAAAATATTTAGCGGATTCTAACTTGTCATTGTCAGTTATCATCCATGTGGATGATACTATGCCGGAGTCTTACCTGTTTAACATCTTAACTTATAAAAATATTGGAACATTTTGCTGGAATTGTTCAGTTGAAAATAATGCTTTAAGGCTAGCTTTTAGACGCCAAGGAGAAAGGGTAAGGAAGGCGCATGTAACTTTTTGTTGAGTTCTAAAAAGGGCCGATATTAGGGCGCCTGGGTGGTTCAGTCGGTTGAGCGTCTGACTTTGGGTCAGGTCACGATCTCACGGTAAGTGGGACTGAGCCCCGCATCAGGCTCTGTGCTGACAGCCAGCTCAGAGCCTGGAGCCTGCTTCAGAGTCTGTGTCTCCCTCTCTGTCTGACCCTCCCCTGCTCATGCTGTCTCTCTCTCAGAAATAAATAAAACATTAAAGAAAAAACAATAATAAAACAAAAAGGGCCGATACATCCAAGTTTTCTTTAAGTTTTTTATTTATTTGAGAGAGAGAGGGGGAGAGAATCCCAAGCAGGCTCTGTGCTGACAGCCCGCCTACTCTGGGTCTAGAATTGACAAACCGCCAGATCAGGACCTGAGCCGAAATCAAGTCCGATGCTTCACCGACGGAGCCCCCCAGGCGTCCCGAGAGTTTGCACGCTTTAATTTTTGTTTTACTCCTAAAACTTTCCTATGCAGTAGTGAATGTTAAAGCCTGTTTACGGATGGGGAGGAGAGACAGGGAATGGCTGAGGTTTCTAAGGAAAGAAAATTCAAGCTAATTCAGTTCACCGCGAGATGGTTACCAAAATTAGATTTATTGAAAACGTATCCGGAAAAAAAAAAAATGAAAACGTATCCGAGGCATAGAAAATAATACTTAACAAACGGTTGCTTTTCTTTGGAGGTACGGGAAAGGAAGCGGGCGGTTCGAAGCAAGTTAACCGTCCACACTGTCACGTACCGTGCCCTCACATCTGGTCCTGTGTGAGTTGTTTCGGGTATAAGCCAATACCCGAGCGGTGACTCTGAAAATCCCCTGTGAATGCTGAGCAGCAATGTTGTGACATTAACATTTAATTTTGCTTTAGGATCGCCCAGCAATGCAGCTTTACCAGCCGGGGGCCCGAAGCCGCAATCGACTCTGTCCGCCTGACGACAGCACCAAGTGTGGAGACTCGGGAATAGAAAAGAAGCAGGAAAGTGGTATTAGCCATAGGAAAGAAGGAGGCGAGGAGTGAGAAGTCCAAATGGCCTTAGGTGTCCTGACTGTCTAGGCAGCCAAAGAGCATGCATTAAGCAATCCAGAAGTGCCTTCAGGGCAAAGGAATAGAGACAGAGGAAGGGGATCGCTGTGCTGGTGGGGTACACTGCAGAGGAGTAATGTTGTTGTTGTTGTTGTTGTTTGTTTTTTTATCTTTGTGTCCGAGCAGGAACCTGATCGCAGGTTCGGGTTGGAAATACAATTTCATTTTTTGTATGCAGTTCCTACAAAGTCCTTTTCAAAGTGTCAGAGATGAGGGAGAGGACACGCATGGCGGGTTGCAGGTGGGAAGTGTCAAGTGAGGGCCTCACTAGGGATGACAGAGCCGGGCTAATAGGGCAGCCGGTTCTGTACTCAGAGGGCTCTGTCACACCCCGGGTTGGACTGTCTCCATTTGAGTGGAACAGAGTCACTGTGAAGTCTGGGTCAGATCTAATCACACTCACTGTTGGTGATAACTGTTGGCTTTGTGTAGCGTAGACGCCACAAACGTGTAATTGTAGTACGAGGCCAGTGAAGGGTATGACACCGTTTCGCCTGTGCAAAAATGTAACGATGTCGTGTCTATATCCTACGTCCTGAAGTTTTAGGATTAGCTTTAGTTTTTTATTTGCTTCTGTGAGCTTAGCGCAAAGAATATTTTTAAACTTCTCCGTTTTGCCTTTAGCAATTTTGATATTAATGAGTCAAACTTAACCCGTGTTTGGTTCTTGACAATCCAGTCTTTGTTTTATCTTAGGTCCGATGATCTGAGTGCATATCCTGTCCGGGAAGGAAACTGCACCGATTTCTGTTCCTGTCCAATAGCTACCTTTAGTCCTAGCTTGTTTGGCATTGATGTCAATAAATATCCACATCACTCAACTATGAAGCTCAGTGTCTTTTATTAACTTTACTAGTACATAGCTATTAATTTTGAGAAATGAGGCTTTTGATCCTGAATTAGCATCCTAGGAATTTCGAAAGGGGAGGAGCAACACTCGTTTCTGCCTTCACTCGCATTCTGCCTTTGTCTTGGCCGCCAAGGTCAAGTCGTGGTTCGCTACCGTCGCTCCTCAAGAACCAAAATGTCTGGACGGCATCCTGGAGCCGCTGCTTAATTTTCATCCCACCAGCTTCTCCTAAGGCGGCGGCGGTCTGCCATTACTGAACTCACTGCTTTAGGTTTTCCTCAGCTTTGAGAAACCAGTTTCCCAAGAAGCAGGTAAAGAGGAGGAGCCATCGAAGGTGGCCGAAAGAGAATGGTCCTCAGCTGGGAGAAAGCACCCAAATACAGGCAGGGAGAAGGGCAGAGAGAGCAGCTGCCAGTGGTCCGTGCCACATAGCGGTGATGGAAGATAGGAAAGGCGCTCGTGGTGCTTGGCGGCATGGAGGTCACCGGTGCACTGAAGAGGCAGAAACTGTATTACAGTGAGGGGTGGGTGGCACATAGGGAATGGAGATGGGGGCCGTTGGATAAATGGACCTTGGAGCTCAGGGAAGAGATCTGGGCCGGAGACACAGATTTGAAATTTAGGCGATCACTGAAGCCATGGGTCTAGATTTAGTCACTTCGGGAGAGATGGTGAAGAAAGAACAAGCAGACCTAGGGCCCAGCCTTGAAGAACCCTAAGGTGACAGGCAAGCAAAAGTATCTACATGGGGCGCCTGGGTGGCTCACGCGGTTGAGCGTCTAACTTCAGCTCAGGTCAAGATCTCGCTGTTCATGAGTTCGAGCCCCATGTTGGGCTCTGTGCTGTCAGCGCAGAGCCTGCTTAGGAGTCTCTGTGCCCCTTGCCTCTCTCTGCCCCTCCCCTACTCACTCTCTCACCCAAATAAAAAATAAACATTAAAAATATCTACAAAGAGGGGCACCTGAGTGGCTCAGTCGGTTGAGTGTCCGACTTCGACTCAGGTCATGTTCTCATGGTTCGTGGGTTCGAGCCCCACATCAGGCTCTGTGCTGACAGCCAGCTCAGAGCCTGGAGCCTGCTTCAGATTCTGTGTCTCCTTCTCTTTCTGACCCTCCCCTGCTCATGCTGTATCTCTCTCAGAAATAAATAAAAACATAAAAAAATTTTTTTTTAAATATATACAAAGACAGAAAAGGAGTAGCCAGAGGGGAGGTGAAAAACCAGAAGACTCTGGTATTACCTAACCCAAGAGAAAAGAGTGAAGAAGGAGAGGGAAGTGGCCATTAGTGTTGGATGCTGCTGGAGGGTCAAGTGTGATGCCTGAAAAAAAGGCCGTGGGATTCAGTGACACAAATCATTGGTGACCTGGAATTAAAGGGAATGAGAGCCAGATGGCTGAGAATGGAAACCACATAGAGAGGAGTTTGGCAGTTTTAAGTAGGCTCTATGCCCAGCATAGAACCCACCACAGGGCTTGTACTCACAACCCTGAGATCAAGAGCTGAGATCAAGAGTCGGACGCTTAACCTCCTGAGCTACCCAGGCACCCCCATGAAGGATTCTTTTATTTTAAAATTTTTTAATGTTTATTTTCGAGAGAGAGAGAGAGACAGAATCCGAAACAGGCTCTAGGCTCTGAGCTGTCAGCACAGAGCCCGTTGCGGGGCTCAAACCCACAAACCGTGAGATCATGACCTGAGCCGAAGTCAGATGTTTAACTGACTGAGCCACCCAGGCGCCCCTGAAGGATTATTTTAAATATGAGAACTACTAAAAAGCATGTTTAGAAGCCAAAACGAAAGCCCCGAGAAAGGATGAAGACCAGGGGAAGTGATCGTCAATCGTGGTTTCCTGAGAAAGCAGGTGAAAACAGGGCGGCAGAGGGTCGAGCTGGCCTTAGGAGGAGCAGTACACCGCGACCATCAGACCATCAGTCCAAAGTCGGCATCGCTTGCCTCCTTACCCAGCCTGGGGCCGGCGGCCAGGCCTCTGGAGGCCATTTTCACCTCAGCACCTCCCCCTTCACTTGCCTAGCCAGTCCGACTTGGTAAACCACACTTTCCTATGCCCCTTAAATGTCTTCACTTATGTCGTCATTTTTGCAAACATTTACTAATCACTGACTGTGTGCCAGGCCCTGGGGGCTAAGGACTCAAGTCCTTGTCCTCGAGAAACCATGGCCCAGTGGTAGGAAGAAACAGCTAGAAAGAACCAGAGCACAACGCACCGCGTGAGGAGGGCTAAGATGGCGTGGCCGGCTGTGGGAGGGTCCTGCCCCCAAGCTGCCGAGTGCTGCTGGAGAGAACCCCTTAGCCAGACCAACTGGTGAGGCGAAGGGAGGGCCCTCCCTCCTGCTAATAAGCTACTTTTCAAATCCATCTTGATGTCCTTTCCCACAGCGCGCGTTGCTTCCTCTGGTCGGGCCCCGTCGCTCTCTTGGGTCAGGAAGAAGGCGGTGAGGACCACTTCCTCGTAACTCATGAGTTAATGCTCCTCCTGAAAACAAACTGCTGTAAACAGGAGAAAAACAAACATCCATTCCATTTTTGCCTACTTCAGGCTAAGGTTTGACCTGTTCGGAAATAACGACAGGATGGAGACGGCTCAGATATCTAAAGGTTCATGGAACACCTCGTATAGGCTGCCACCAAGATTACGGTAGTGAACAAGGTCCCTGCCCTCGATATTTACAGCCATGGGGAGTGTGCTGCTCCGCTGGAGAGAAGTGATACTAAGGGAGGTGAGCAGGAAAAATTCAAGGGGTGAGGGCAGTGGGAATAGGTATTTCCAGGGCGGTGACGAGCGGGTCCTCAAAATCGGGAACCACACTCCCTCTCGCCAGCAGGCCTACCAAGGTAGTCATGAGGTAGTCCTTGAACTCTGACTAAATGGAGACTTAGCTCTCCATGGTATTCACAATGCTGTCTTTAAGTCCATAAAAGAAAGGTTAATGGTTTTGTAGCCTTCTGTCGGTGTATAGAAACTCTGCTATGTTTTATGTTTTTATGGGGCCTTCCCAGAAGGTTCTTTACAGTCTCTGGGGCTGTCTGCTACACCACAGAAGTCTATGATGACCACTTATGTCCTTATTAAGGAAGGCAAGGTAGCAAAGATAGGTTCGCATTTGGTGAATTCTTGGGAAGTATATACTGACAGCTACATACATAGGATTAACCATCCTGAGAAATCTCACAGAGCTCATTCATTCACCAAATATTTTATTTTTAATAAAATATTTTATTTTATTTTTAATGTTTTATTTATTTCTGAGAGAGAGAGAGAGACAGCGTGAGCAGGGGAGGGTCAGAGAGAGAGGGAGATACAGAATCTGAAGCAGACTCCAGGCTCTGACCTAGCTGTCAGCACAGAGCCTGATGCGGGGCTCGAACCCACGAACCGTGAGATCATGACCTGAGCCGAAGTCGGACCCTTAACCGACTGAGCCACCCAGGTGCCCCTCATTCACCAAATACTTAACGAAGCTTCTGTGGAGACATGGGTAAACACATCATAGTCCCTTACTAGTGTAATACAGGGTGTAGTATCTACGTTTCCGGACTTTGAGGTTCTCTTCTGTATCTCTAGCCCTGCCCACCCCCCTCATCTCAGATCCAGCCGCCTACTAGACCTCTGTGCCCAGACGCCCCACAAGTGTCTCTGGTCCCGAACCGAACTCAGTTTCCTCCTGCCCTGCTGTTTGTAGAGGGTGTCAACCGCCCATCCACCCAGCACTGAGGGTCATACTTGACTCCGTCCTCACTCCCTATAGCCAATCACTGGATGGTGTGTCCGATCCATCTCCCTCCTCTCTATCCGTTCGCTGCCCTCAGCTCAGGTTGCCATCATTTATTCATTCGTTCACTATTTCTTAAGCACACACCATGTACAATGGAGCTGACATTCAAGTGGAGAAAGTAAATAAAACAAGCAGATAAGTACTGCCGGAAAGTGACAGGTGCAGGGGCGCCTAGCTGGCTGGGTCAGCAGAGCGTGTGACTCTTGATCTCGGGGTTGTAAGTTGGAGCCCCACATTGAGTGCAGAGATTACTTAAAAAGTAAGTGACAGGTGCGGGCACCTGGGTGGCTGGTCAGTTAAGCATCTGACTCTTGATTTTGGCTTAGGTCATGATCTCACAGTTTGTGAGTGTGAACTTGAGCCCTACATGGGGCTCCGCACTGTCAAGGCAGAGCCCAGTTTGGGGTTCTCTCTCCTCCCTATCTCTCTGCTTCTCTCTCTTCTCTGCCCCTCCCCCACTCACTCACACAGTCTCTCAAAAAAACTTTAAAAAATTACAACAGAGTTTCTTAAAAAAAAAAAAAAGTCACAGGTGCCTGACAGAAGTAATAAATCAGGGAAAGGTAATATGATGTTCACGGTTGGGGCTTGAAAGGCCTAAATGAAAAGGTGACTCAGAGTAAAGACCTGAGACATGAGGTGGAAGCCTCCAAAGGAAAAAGTATGTGAAGGGGCACCTGGGTGGCTCAGTTGGTTGAGCATCTGACTTCGGCTCAGATCATGATCTCACGGTTCCTGGGTTCGAGCCCCGCATCGGGCTCTGTGCTGACAGCCAGCTCAAGAGCCTGGAGCCTGTTTCCAATTCTGTGTCTCCCTCTCTCTCTCACCCTCCCCTGCTCATGCTCTCTCTCAGAAATAAATTAAAAAACATTAAAAAAAAATTTTTTTTTAAAGTACGTGAAAAGGCCCTGGGGCAGGAATGTGCCTGGCCTGCTCAGGAATGGCAAAGAGGCCATAATGGCTGGACTAGAGTGAGTAAGGTGGAAAGCAGCCAAAAGGGACGGAGTGAAGTCAGAGAGTTAACAGGGCCAAGATCCTAGAGGTCATAGTTAGGACTTGGGCTTTTCTTCCAAATGATCCGGGAACCGGCGCAAAGTTTTGAGCAGAGGTGGGATATAATCAGACTTAGTATTTGACAATAAAAGGATCGCTCTGGCTGTGGTGTTGAAAACAGACCAAAACAGGGGAAAGCAGGGCAAAGAGACATTAAGCTATTGCAGGAATCTAGTAGAGAAAGGATGGCTGCCTGGACCAGATGGCGGCCACGGAAGTAGCCAGAAGCGATCACATTCTGAAAATATTTTTTAGGCAGAGCCCACAGAATTTGCTGACTGACCAGATGTGGGGTGTGAAAGTCAAAGATTATTTAAGCCACCGGAAGGATGAGGAAAGGATTGAGATGGGGAAAACTGCAAGAAAAAGTGTGTGTGTGTGTGTGTGTGTGTGTGTGTGTGTGTGTGTGTCTGTCTGTCTGTCTGGTGGTACAGGAGGCTATCAGTTTAGGACATGTGAAGCCATGGGATTGAGATCACCACAGGAGTAAGTCTAGATTGAAGAGAAGAGACTCAGGACAGAGGTCTGGAGCACTTGAGCATTTAGATGCGAGATAAAGAACCAGAAAGAGAGGTTCTGAATGAGCAGTTAGAAAGATAGGAAGAAAATCAAGCAAGTGTACTGTCCTGGAAGCCATGTGAACAAAGTAGTTCAAGGAGAAGTCAACTCAGACCCTATCAGAGAGATTAATTTAGGATTTAGCAACAGAGAAGTCACCAGTGATCTGCAGTTTCGGTTTGAGTGCTAGGTGAAAATCTGACTGGAGGGGCGCCTGGGGGGCTCAGTCGGTTAAGCGTCCAACTCTTGGTTTCGGCTCAGGTAAGGATATCACGGCTTCGTGGGTTCGAGCCCCACATTGGGCTCTGCGGGCAGGAGCAGCGCAGAGCCTGCTTGAGATTCCCTCTCTCTCTCCCTCACTCTCTGCCCCTCCCCCACTCATGCTGTCTCTGTCAAAATAAATAAACTAACTTAAAAAAACAAAACCAGATCGCTCTGGCTGCCACACTGAGAAGAGAATGGAGGGGGCGCCTGGGTGGCTCAGTCGGTTAAGCATCCGACCGGCTCAGGTCATGACCTCATGGTTTGTGGGTTCGAGCCCTGTGTCGGGCTCTGCGCTGACAATTAGCTCAGAGCCTGGAGACTGCTGCGGATTCTGTATCTCCCTCTCTCTGATCCTCCCCTGCTCACGCTGTCTCTCTTTCTGTCAGAAATAAATAAAACATTTAAAAAAATTTTTTTAAAAAAAGAAGAGACTGGAGGGGTTAGGGTCAAAAGAAGGCAGAAGAGTTAGGAGGCTTCCATCATGACTCAGGTGGGGGGGGTATCTTGAGTCAGGCTGGGGGCAGTGGGGGGCGTGTGGATTCTAGCTGTGTGTGTGAAGAGGACTTGCTGTCAGATTAGAACAGAGGGGTAAGAGAAGGAGAAGAGTCAATGGGGAAAATGTGGCCTATGGACCGGGGCAGGGGTGGGAAGGGGGCAGACCAGGATGACAGAAAGACCTCTGCAAATGTTTCATTTGTAGTTTTTTTCATTTTAATGGTTTTGTTGTTGTTGTTGTTTTTAAGAAAGAGAGAGAGAGGGGGGCGCCTGGGTGGCTTAGTCGGTTAAGCGTCCGACTTTCGCTTAGGTCATGATCTCGCGGTTCGTGGGTTCGAGCCCCGCGTCGGGCTCTGTGCTGACTGCCAGCTCAGAGCCTGGAGCCTGTTTCAGTCTGTGACTCCCTCTCTCTCCGACCCTCCCCTGTTCATGCTGTGTGTCTCTCTCTCTCTCCTAGAGATAAATAAAACATTTTAAAAAAAAAAATTTAAAGAAAGAGAGAGAGAGAGAGGATCTGAAGCGGGCTCTGCACTGACAGCAGAGGGCCCTGTGTGGGGCTCAGACTCACAAACAATGAAATCATGGCCTGAGCCAAAGTTGGATGCTTAACTGACTGAGTCACCCAGGCGCCCCTATAGTTTTCTTTTTTTTTTTTTTAGTGTTTATTTTTGAGAGAGAGAGAGAGAGAGAACAAAAACCAGCGGGGGAGGGGCCGACAGAGGAGGACAGGATCTGAAGCGGGCTCTATGATGACACCAGAAAGCCTGATGTAGGGTTCAAACTCCCCAACCATGAGATCATGACCTGAGCTGAGGTCGGACGTTCAACTCTTCAACCGACTGAGCCACCCAGGCGCCCCCCCCATTTGTAGTTTTGTCTGTAGACCCATATAAATGTGGTTTTAACTTTACACTGAAACACAACACCCATGCAGAGAAGTGTACCATCCCAAAGTGAACACATGCATACCAACAGCACCCGGATCAAGAAGGAGAATATGATCAGCGCCCCCTGCTCCCAAGGATAACCACTATCATGACTTCACACTGCACAGATTCCCTTCTCCTGGTTTGGGTCTTTACGTAAATAGAATCCTACAGCATGTGTGCTCTTGTCTGGCTTCGTCTGTACCACATTTTTGTGGATGTGGATGAGATCATCCGTGCCGCGGCTGTTTTGTCATAATTTGTTTATTTCCATGGCTGGGCAGGAGCAGTTTGCAAATGCTTTGGTCTTAAGAGTCCTTTTTATCTTTTTTATTCTTTAAAAATTTTGTTTTTAATGTTTTATCTATTTCTGAGAGATAGCATGAGCAGGGGAGGGTCAGAGAGAGAAGGAGACACAGAATCCAAAGCAGGCTTCAGGCTCTGAGCTGTCAGCACAGAGCCCGACACGGGGCTTGAACCCACGGACTGTGAACCCACGGACTGTGAGATCATGACCTGAGCCAAAGTCGGATGCCCAACCGACTGAGCCACCCAGGCACCCCATGGTCTTAAGCCTCCTTAAGACCACTTACCTCAGGGACCTCTGTTTGTATAGATCGATATAATCTATCTACCAATATATACTGTATTAGAAAGTAAACCAGGAATTGTTTTTTGAGAGAGAGAGAGAGAGAGAGAGAGAGAGAGAATATCCCAGGAGGGGCAGAGGGAGGTAGAGAGAGAGAGAGAGAGAAGCAGGTCTCACCCAATGTGATGTGGGCCTCGTGTTCACCCGAAGTGGGGCTCGAGCTCATCGGATGTGGGACTTGGGCTCATGAACCATGGTACCGTGACCTGAGCAGAAGTCGGATGTTTAATGACTGAGCCACCCAGGCGCCCTAAAACAGGAATATTGAAAACAGAGAAGCACACATTCTGTTGTCTGTCAGAACAAGGAAGTCATTCTAGTCACGCAGCCTCTGGAAAACTCCACAGTACACTCCTGAGAGCATGAGAGTAAAAGAAGCAAGTGATTTCTTTGTATTATTATAAGATTCATGTTGACCTCACAGACCCTCCCCCAGAGTCCCACGCATCACACTTTGAGAACTGCTGTGTATTGCAGCCCTTGGTAAATAGGCGATGTATCTGCTCACGTGCTGACAGATTAGGACAGTTTCCGGTTTGGGGCTATCATAAATAATTCTGCTACAAGCAATTTAGTACATACCTCTGGATGCACATCTGTGCGCCTTTCCGTTGGGGAAACGCCTAGGAAAGGAAATGTAGGGCTAGATAGGAGGGGACCATGTAAAACATTTACATAATTTAACAACTAAATTTATAAGAAACATCCTCTCTTCATGTCTTCTTCCCTCCCACTGCAGGAAACGACTGTTCTCTTTCTCAACGGAATCTCCTCTCCCAAGGCCCCCACGTGTCCTCCGAGCCCCCCCCCCCACTATCCAGTATACCTGCATTTTCTTGCATCTTTTCTCTCTCTCCTTCCTATCTTCTCCATGATCTACCGAAACCCACCAACTCTTGAGCTCACCACTCTCTCGCGCCCCCTTTCTTTGTCTCCTTCCCTTCACACCCAAACCTCCTAAAAGCATCTCCTCCCTCCAAGCCCTGCCCCACCTCATCACCCACTCTGTTCCCTTCTTGCCACCTTCCTCACCTCCCATCTACACTGTCCAACTTTCACGGGTACCAAGGTGCACCCGATGGCAAATTCTGGGGCCTCTTCACAGCCCCTGTCCTTTCTGACACCTCTGGGACCCAGTTCGGTTGCATTCCAGGTCCCTGAAATGTGCCTCTGGCAAATCTGGCTCCGCCCAATCAGGATGTATTGCGCCCGACGCTTGAGTCTTGTGGTGACAGCGCGGCTCCTAGTGGCTGGAAAGCCCTCCTCCCCATCTCCCCATGTCCTGACCCCGCTAGTATCAGGTATCAGGCCGCCGGGGCTGCCATAACAAAATGCCAGGCTGAGTGGCTCAAATGACAGAAATTTCTCACAGTTCTGGAGGCTAGAAGTCCAAGGTCAAGATGATCAAGGCATCAGCAAGGTTTGGTTTCTCCTGAGGCCTCTGTGGGGCGCGAGGGTGGCTCAGTCGCTTACGCGTCCAACTCTTGGTTTTCCCGATCAAGTCATGATCTCACAGTTCGTGAGTTGAAGCCCCGTGTTGGGCTCTGTGCTGACAGTGTGGCACGTGCTTGGGGTTCTCTCTCTCTCCCCCTCTCTCTCTCTTTCTCTCTCTCTCTCTTTCTCTCCCTCTCTCTCACCCCCTCCCCCCCATGCTAGCTCTCTCTCAAAATAAGTAAACTAAAAGAATTTTTTTAAATCTCCTGAGGCCTCTCTGATTGGTTTGCAGCTTCCACTGTGTTCTCGCATGGTCTTTGAGCCTCTCTGGTGTCTCTAGTTAGGGCCCACAGTAGCAAGCCTCATTTCAACTTAATCACCGCTGTAAAGGTCCTACGTCCGAATAGTCACGTTCTGACATACTGGGGTTAGGGCTTCAACATATGAATTTTAGGGGAACACAATGCAGCCCATAACACCACCACTCACCTTCTACGGCTGGATTCAAATCCCATCTCCTCCCCTTCGCTGGCAATCCGCACCCCTTCAATATGTAAAAAAAAAAAAAAAAAAAAGTTTATTTTGATTTTAGAGAGACAGAGCATGAGCAGGGGAGGGGCAGACAGAGAGGGAGACACAGAATCCGAGGCAGCTCCAGGCTCCAAGCTGTCAGCACAGAGCCAAACAGGGCTCAAACTCACAAACGGTGAGATCATGACATGAGCCAAAGTCAGAACCCAACCGACTGAGCAACCCAGGTGCCCCAGGAGCCCCTTCAATATTCTTGTAATAGTTTATTTCCTTCCTAGCACTATCTGCCCTGTTACCATACAAGGGAATGAAAGTAATACTGGCCGCTGTTTACTGAGCTGGTGGCTATCATGTGCCCGGTATATATTAACTCAGGCCTTACTGTGTGCTTAACATATCTTAACAGCGACTCTGAATCCTCACCATGGCACTGTGAGTTAAGTCATATTATTTATCCCCATTTTACAGAAGAGGAAACTAAGGCACAGACACGCTGAGTTATGTATCCAACGTCCCCTAGCTAGTAGGTTGCGCTGGTAGCGTTCACACTCGGCTAGTCCTGGTTTCAGTCTGTCAGCACTGCACTTGGTGCCTCTTCAGTTCAACAGGTACCCAGGCCTACTCTGTGTCAGGCTTGGGTCTTGGTGCTGGGGGTACAGGAGCTTACAAATGCGACCCAAAAGCCCTGCCTTTGTGGAGGCTTGTGGTAATGGTGTAGTTCTAGATTTTACTGCGGTGGCAGTTCTATGAAGCTACATATGTGATAAAACTATATAGAACTACTGGGGTGCCTGAGTGGCTCAGTTGGTTAAGCGTCTGACTTGGGCTCATGAGTTCAAGTCCTATGTTGGGCTCTGTGCTGACAGCTCAGAGCCTGGAGCCTGCTTCACATTGTGTCTGCCTCTCTCTCTGCCCCTCCCCTGCTCACTCTCTGTCTCTGTCTCTCAAAAATAAATAAATATTAAAAAAAAAATTTTTTTTTTTTTAAATTTTTTAGACAATATAGAACTACACACACACACACAACCACGAAGTTACAAATATGATAGAACTATAGAACTGCACACACGCAGATAAGTACACATCTAACTGGTGAAATCTGAGGAAGCTCTTTGGATTGTTTCAATGTCTGTTTCCTGGCTTTGATATCATATGATAGTAACGCAAGACATTAATGCTAGAGGCCGAGTGAAGGGTGCACAGGATCTCTCCGTAGGTTTCTGTGACTTCTTATGAATCCCTGATTATTTCAAAATATTTAAAAGAATCTCTCTGGGGCGCCTGGGTGGCTTAGTCGGTTAAGCGTCCGACTTTCGCTTGGGTCATGATCTCGCGGTTCGTGGGTTCGAGCCCCGCGTCGGGCTCTGTGCTGACTGCCAGCTCAGAGCCTGGAGCCTGTTTCAGTCTGTGACTCCCTCTCTCTCTGACCCTCCCCTGCTCACGCTGTCTCTCTCTCTCTCTCCTAGAAATAAATAAAACATTAAAAAATATTTAAAAAAAAAAAAAAAAAAAAAGAATCTCTCTGCCCTCATTGAGCTCAATTCCAGTGTGGAATTAGACAATAAACAAATACATAATATGACATGATAGATGCTGATAAATGTCATCACGAAAAGCAGGGCATGAGGGTACACAGTGTTTGGGGAATGGTGTCTCTTAAATGGATACATGTGAGCCTTGACTTGCAGGAGGTGAGGAAGCGAGACGTGGGATACCTGGGGGAACAGAGTCCCAGGGAGGGAGAACACCCAGTGTGAGGCCGTGAAGACAGCTGTGTTTGGTGTGTTTAAGGAAGAGCAAGGAGGTCAGTGAGGCTTTGGCAAAGTGAGAGAGAAGAGCGGGAGGCTGGGTAAGAGAACTAATGTCCAACCAACTGGGTAGGGCCTTCGAGGCCACTGCAAATTCCTGTGCTTTCTTTTTTTTTTTTTTTAATTTATTTATTTTGAGAGAGAGTGAGCGAGCAGTGGGGAAGGGGCAGAGAGGAGGAGAGACAGAATCCCAAGCAGGCTCCATGCCATCAACACAGAGCCCTACATGGGGCTAGAACCCACGAACCACGAGATCATGACCTGAGGTGAGATCAAGAGTCAGGCACTTACCCAACTGCGCCACCCAGGTGCCTCCGACCTTTTTAAATTTATTATCTTTTTATTATTATTTTTTTGACAGAGAGAAAGAGCGCATGTGAGCAGGGGGAGAGGGGCAGGAGAGAGAATCTCAAGCAGGCTCCACGCTCAGTGTGGAGCCTGATGCAGGGCTTGATCTCACCACTGTGAGATCATGACCTGAGCTGAAAGCAAGAGCCTGAGCCACCCAGGTGCCCCTGTACTTTCTTTTATTAGGAGAGGGATGGGGAGCCATTGGAGCGCGTTGAGCAGAGGAGTGCCATGATCTGCCCGAGATCATTTTTTTTTAAATATTTATTTTTGAGAGAGAGAGAAACAGAGTGTGAGCAGGGGAGGGTCAGAGAGAGAGGGAGACACGGAATCTGAAGCAGGCTCCAGGCTCTGAGCTGTCAGCACAGAGCCCGACGTGGGGCTCGAACTCACCAACTGTGAGATCATGACCTGAGCCGAAGTCAGACGCTGAACTGACTGAGCCCCCTAGGCGCCCCTGACTGAGGTCTTGAAAGGGTCGCTCTGGCTGCTGCAGAGAAGCCACCAAGCAGGCAGAGCAGTGAGGAGCCCTAAAACAATCTAGGTGAGAGAGGGTGGCTCGGACCAGGGTAGAGGTGATGAGAAGTCCTCAGGATCAGGATCAATTTCAAAGTCAAGCTGACCAGATTTGCTGACAAACCAGATGCAGGATGTGAAAGAGAAGAGTGGAAGATAAATTTTGGCTGAAGCGACGAGAAGAATGGAGGTGCCATTTGCTGTGATGGGGAGGACTTCGAGTGACCCAGTTAGGAGTTCTGTTTGGGACATACTACGTTTAAGGCATCAATGAGACATCCCAGTGGATGCTGGGAAGGTGGTAGAAGCTCAGGGGAGGTCAAGGCCGGAGATACAGGTTTGGGTGTCTTCAACCAAGAGAGTATTTAGAGCCATGATATTGGATGAAATCGCCAAAGCAGGGAGTGTATATAGAAAAGACAAGAGGTTCAGGGGCGCCTAGGTGGCTTAGCTGGTTAAGTATCTGACTCTTGGTTTCAGCTTGGATCATTGGGTTCTGTGCTGACAGTAGGGAGCCTGCTTGGGATTCTCTCTCTCTTCTCTGCCCCTCCCCTCCTCTCGCTGTCTCTCTCAAATAAATAAACTTTTTACAGTTTTTTAAAAAAGAAAGAAAAGAAGAGGTCCAAAACAGAACCTTGGGGCCCTCCAATGTTAAAAAGGAATTGAAGTAAGGAAGAATCAGCAAAAGAAACTCAGAAGGGGTAGCATGCAAGGCAAAGGGAAAACCCGGTAGAATGAAGATTGCCCTATAAAGCTGTAAGAATTAAAAAGATGAAGAGCACCTGGATGGCTCAGTCAGTGAAGCGTCTGACTTTGGCTCAGGTCAGGAGCTCACAGCTTGTGGGTTCGAGCCCCGCATCAGGCTCTATGCTGAAAGCTCAGAGCCTGGAGCCTGTTTCCGATTCTGTGTCTCCCTCTCTCTCTCTCTCGGAAATAAACAAACATTAAAAAAAAAAAAAAAAAAAGGATGATTTGCCCTTCTTGGTACCTGTCCCCGGTGGCCCTGTGGGCGTATGGGCCAGAGGCGGCCCCAAAGAGTAGGAGGCGGAGGGGGAGCAGGTGGGCAGGTGTAAGTGTTGCGATGGCACACTCCCCGGGAGAATCGAGACAGGCAGGTGACCACAAGGATGCACCCAAGAGCTACGGCATCCAAAGAGGAACAAGCAGTAACAAAGTCTCAACGTGGAAAAACCAACCAAGAAAAGAAAACAAAAGGGTGAAATGGAGCAAGTTGCTAATAAAGGAGAGCCCTTGGCCCTTCCTTTGGAAGCTGGAGACTATCATGTGCCTAGAGGAAGCTGTAGGTGGTTCCGTGTTCCCAGCCCATCCTGTAGTCTAGGTGGGGCATGGCGTGGAGACTTGCAGAGTGAGGGTGACAGAAAAGAATATGGTGGGACGCCTGGGTGGCTCAGTCGATTACGTGTGGGACTCTTGGTTTCGGCTGAGGTCATGATCTCCAGGTTTCCTGGGTTCGAGCCCGGCCTTGGGCTCTGTGCTGACAGCTCAGAGCCTGCTTGGGATTCTCTGTCTCCTTTTCTGTCTGGCGCCCCAATTTATTTCTTTTGAGAGAGGGAGGACCGAGAGAGAGTGGAGGAGGGTTAGAGAGAGAGAGAGGGAGGGAGAGAATCCCAAGCAGGTTGCACGCTGTCGGCGCAAAGCCTGATGCAGGGCTTGAACTCATGAACTGTGAGATCATGACCTAAGCTAAAATCAAGAGTCCGATATTTGGGGCACCTGGGTGGTTCAGTCGGTTGGGCGTCCGACTTCTGCTCAGGTCATGATCTCACGGTTCGTGGGTTCGAGCCCCACGTCGGGCTCTGTGCTGACAGCCTGGAGCCTGTTTCAGATTTTGTGTCTCCCTCTATTCTCTGACCCTGCCCTGCTCACACTGTCCCTCTCTCTCTCAGAAATCAATAAAAAACATTAAAAAAAACTTTATGGGAAAAAAAAGAGTCCTGGTGTTTAACTAACTGAGCCACCCAGGTGCCCCACTGTCTCAAATAAACTTAAAAAAAAAAAAAAAAAGGAGACTATGGAAAGGATCGGGGAGGAGGTGAGACAGCTGAGGGAAAAGCAATTTGGTCATGGTCTGCTGGCGGTTAGCAATGACCCTCCTCGCCAGGGCCATCAGGATGAGTTTTGCCTCACCCTGTAAATCCTGTTTTCCCCAAAGTTAATAGGAAGACAGTCCTACTTCCTCGCCTTACACATTCTCAATGTACCTTTGTTGTGAACCATTTGGTGTTCCATGCCTCTTGCGGGTCTCCTGTTACCAGCTTCTAACTGAATGTTCCATTTTGACCCATTCTGTAAGATTCTGTCAGCAGGGGAGTTTTACCCTATTGTACATACAGCAAGATGCTCACTATATATTGTGAAGTTAATAAAGCAGTTTAAAAAGGAAAAAAAAAAAAGATGATTTGTATAAGCTCTTAGCAGTGTCCGTCGCATCCTAAACCTCAGGTAAATGGTAGCTATATCGATGATATTGATGGTTTAATTCAGCAACTGAAGGGTTATTTGCTGCTCCTCTGGGCCACCAAAAACCAGATACGGGCTCTCAAATAAAGAATAAAAATCCAGGTTAAGAAGCCTAAGGACTCACCTCACTTAAACATAAAATGATCTGGATGAGGGTCTGAATTTAAAAACTGGATGGGATTTAAGTAACTAAAGTTTTGCTGTTAAAAAATGGTTATTAGGGCCACCCGGGTGGCTCTGTCAGTTAAGTGGCTGACTCTCCATTTCGGGTCAGGGCATGATCTCACAGTCCATGAGATCGAGCCCTGCCCTGCACTGGGCTCCGAGCTGAACTTGGAGCCTGCTTGGGATTCTCTCTCCCCTTCTCTCTGCCCCTCCCCTCCTCGCACCGCACCCACGAGGGCACGTGCACAATCACACTCTCTCTCAAAATAGATACATTGTAAAAAATGGTTATTAAATTGACTCAAGCTTCCTACTGTCTACTATTTCCTCTCTAGACTTAAGCCACCAGCATCCAGTTGCTCAAAACAGAAACTTGGACCAAGTCCTGTTACTGTTATAATCATCTCTTGATTTTCTTTCTTCTTATTCAACATCTTGGAGGCTGCTTTACTTTGAACCATCATTTCTTTTTTTAAGATTTTATTTTTAAGTAATCTCTACACCCAACGTGAGGCTCCAACTCACAACCTCAAGATCAAGAGTCACATGCTCCACGGCCTGAGCCAGCCAGCCGCCCTATGGGCCATCATTTCTTGCCAGACGATTTCCAAAGTCTCCTACGTAGTTTGATCTACCATCTGTCACAATACTCCAATATAGGGATTCCTAACCATTTCTGTGCTGTGGAACCCTTTGGCAGTCAGATGAAGCTTATTTTCAGAATGTTTTTGAATACATGAAACAGAGTACATAGGATTACAAAGAAAACTACACTGTAATACAGTTGTCAAAATATTTTCTAAAAGAAATGTGTGCTGTAATAACATATGGGCTTCTTTTTTTAAAATTAGGTTTATTTACTTATTTACAGAGAGACCGCACACCAGTGGGGTAGGGGCAGAGAGAGAGGGAGAGAGAGGGGCGGGGGAAGACAATCTGAGAGAGACTATGCACTAGCAGGGTAGGGGCAGAGAGAGAGAGGGAGAGAATCTCAAGCAGGCTCCACACTGTCTGCGCAGAGCCTGACTGGGGACTAGATCCCACGAACCTCGAGATCATGACCTGAGCCAAAATCAAGAGTTGGACGCTTAAGAGACTTGAGTCACCTAGGCTCCCCATTTTTAAAACAATTTTTATTTTTTAAAGTTTACTTTTTCATTAAAAAATATTTTTAATGTTTATCTTTAAGAGAGAGAAAGACAGAGACAGACTGTGAGCAAGGGAGGGGCAGAGAGAGCGGGATCCAGGCTCCAGGCTCTGTGCTGTCAGCCCAGAGCCCTACATGGGGCTCGAACTCACAGACTGTGAGATCATGACCTGAGCTGAAGTTGGATGCCTAACCGACTGAGCCATCCAGGTGCCCCCAAAACTTATTTATTTTGATAGAAGGGGAGAGAGAGAGAGACAGAGAGAGAAGCAGGGGAGGGGCAGAGAGAGAGAATCCCAGGGCTCCGCACTGTCAGCACAGAGCTGGACTCGGGACTCAATCCCACCCTGAACCGAAATCAAGAGTCAGTGCTTAACTGACTGAGCCGCCCAAGCGCCCAGGACATATGGGCTTCTTAACACAGTTCTACTTATGGGTCTACTAACTACAGTTTACCCTCTAACAACGCAGGGGTTAGGGATGCCGAGCCCATGCAGTGGAAAATCTACATGTAACTTTTGACTCTCCCCAAAACTTAATAGCCTACTGCTGACCAGAAGCCTTACCGATAACACCAACTGTTGATTTACACATATTCTATACGTTATATGTATTATATACTATATCCTTATGATAAAGCATGCCAGAGAAAAGTTTAGTAAGAAAATCATAAAAGAAAGTATTTATAGTCGTGTCCTGTATTAATCGAAGAAATCCACATATAAGTGGACCCATGTAGTTCAAACCCATGTTGTTGAAGGTCAACTGTACTATAATTTCAAACAAGTGATCAATGTGTAAATGCTATTTCAACATCTGCATCAACTGCAATGTGATATGAAACCATCTTTGATTTCTACTGGTGACAAAGTCATGGGAACTATTGACACCACTATAGTTTGTTGCCCACCTTTGTAAATAAAGAAAGCGCTAAATTTCAGACAGGTTGATAAAAACAAGTTGTGATTTTTTTTTCCCCATCCAAGTTCATGTACCCTGTGAATTCTATAAACAGACCATTTGTGGACCCCAGGTTAAAAACCCTTACATTAATCTACTGGTGCAAAACGGCTTGAGGCGACTGCAAAGAAACATAGAGGATTTTTAATTTATTTTTTTTTCATTTTAGAGACAGAGCGCACAAGAAGGAGGGGAGAGGGGCAGAGGGAAAGAATCTTAAGCAGGTTCTACGCTTCGCACACAGCCCACGTGGGGCTCCCACGACCTTGGGATCAGGACCTGAGACTAAATCAAGAGTGGGAGGGTCATCCGACTGAGCCACCCAGGCGTCCCAGGATTTTTTGTTTTTAAGCGTGGAGAAGAAACACATGAAAGCGGGGATCATTAACCTCCAAAAGGCATGTCATCAATTCCTATACATTTCGCAAAGCGGGCTAAAAGTCAGTCTGGGATTTCTAGTAGCCAAGTAAAAGGTTATCCTGAAATTAGTCAGCTTAGACCTTGATGAGCAACCTCTTGCCTAGATGTACCGGACCCACCTAGCGCAGCCCTGGCCACCCTCTCCTGCTTCCTCCACCACCACCATCCCTTCCCGCCCAGCACGGCTCAGCCAGCTCGAAACCACTGTTAGAGGTCGCGATAAGACCGAGATGTGTGCCGCGAGGCCATCCGGGCGGAGGCTAACCCTCGGCGCATGCCTTCCTAAACCCAGGACCTTGCGCTCGGACGTGACGTCCCCCCAACCCGCCCCTGCAGTCAGCCCCGCCCACTCTGCTCTGCCTTCAGAAGGGTTAACACTTTGGCATTTACCACCGGCGGCTGGTGCCTCACCCACGAAGCAGGGTGCCCTGTTCCCGAGGGCCCCACTTACGGAAGTGGCGCAAAACGAATTCCATTTCGCACGGCCGTGCGCGATTTGCCGAGTTCCCAGGAGAGCGCGCACGCGCGCGCACGCGCACGCGTGCAGGACTGGAGTTGAAGGGGAGGCCCCAGACGGCCTTTGGTTTACAACAACTACCAAGCCCCGCCTCTGGCGACGTCTTCTAAATACGTCCTTCCGCCCTCTTCCTTCTCTTTCCGCTTCTCCGCCATCGTGGTGTGTGTTGCTGGCTCTCTCTCGCCATGGTGAGTCTATCCGTTACCATCGGCCCCGGGGTGCTTTTGCGACACTTGAGGTCCCCGCGATCTCGCCGGCACGGCACGCTATGTCGAGGTCCGGGGACCTTTTTAAGGCTTTTACCGGAAAAGACGGGGTTTGGTCACTGCTCCAGGTACAGGCCTGGTGGGGAGCTAGGAAGCGATGGAGAACCGGGGTGGGGTGCGGGGCTGGTGCTTTGTGCACCATGCCGCTCCCCATGCTAGCGGGGGTTTCCCCCTGCCCTTCGCCCTTCTGAAGCGAAATGTGATTCTGGGGCAGAGAGAGAAGTCGGGGGGATCCACTCCAGAAAGCGTGGCCCGACAGTGGGGCACGCGGACCGTGCCAGGCATCGAGAAGGGAATGTGGTCGGCTGGTTTCCGGAAATGTTTAACCCAGCTGCGTACCGGGTTAGGCACTTCCAGGACTTTTAGTCCTTTGTTCGAAGACTTAAGCGTCTCTCCCGTGGGCGCATCTGGAAGAAGGGGTGCTGTAGTTGGAATCTATTTGCCATTAGGGCGTTCTTGCTAAAAGCCAACTGCGGACAGTTACGGTCGTGGATTTTACCTGTGATCGCTTTCTGAGAACTTAGCAATTGCTGTAGGCTTCTGAGTGTGGAGAGGGTCGATATCTGGTGGTGGTTTTAGTTGGCTGAAAATTTACAACTGCTACCGTGAGCTGGGAGAGAGGAGTGTCGTCTTTGCCTTCTTTGTTACACAAGGGTGCGTTGGACCACGTTGGCCAGACCCGAGACCACCAGTCCTGCAGACTGAGGAGAGGGAGGTGGTTGGGGTTGGACTTCGATGACCCCAGTTCTTAAAGCCAAAAACGCAGTGAGAAACTGGTAAAGTCATCCTTGAAAATTACGTTTCAAGTAGAGTTAGAAAGAATGGTCAGTGGGTTAGAATAGATTTATTGACTGGCAAGGATTTTGTGTATGTGTCTTAATTGCTCTTGGGACGACCCTTGAAATCAGGTACCTGTTTTACATAGTGCGCTGAGACTCGTTGACCGAAAGCTTGTGTTCTTTTTTGAAAACCAAGTTCCCCAGCCATCCCCAAGAGTCCTCTGGGTCCTGGGTGACAGCAGGGAACAGTGGAAGGCACCCTAGCCATTTGTGGATTGAGGGAGTTCCTGACTTTGAATCTTTTGAGCAAGCTGTTGTGTTGCTGTCTCCAGTGATTATATTTTTTGGGGGACATCTGGGTGGCTCAGTCGGGTCAGCGTCCGACTTCCGGTTCAGGTCATGATCACCCGTTGGCGAATTGGAGCCCCGCTTCAGGCTCTGTGCTGACAGCTTGGGGCCTGCTTTAGATTCTGTGTGTGTCTCTTTCTCTCTGTCTCTCTCTACCGCCTATGCTCATGTTCTGTCTCTCTCTCAAAAATAAAGCATTAAAAAAACTTTGTTTTAATTGATTACCTTTCCTTTCCAGTCTTCTCATAAGACTTTCAGGATCAAGCGATTCCTGGCCAAGAAACAAAAGCAGAATCGTCCCATTCCCCAGTGGATTCGGATGAAAACTGGTAACAAAATCAGGTAAGGATCCCCCATAACCACCCGCGTGTTTTGTTTTCATGTGCTTTCTCTGTCTCTGGACAGCAACCCAGCCCACAGCTGGGATTAAGGGCAGAAATTCCAATATTTGTTAATTTTCTGTTGTCTGAAGGTTGCCCTCTACTGCAGAAGTAGTTGAACTGATGGTTTTGGAATTGCTAGAATTGCTCCAGGGCCTCTGGGCTCATCTAGGCTTAACAGGCAAAGCAGGCGCTGCACTGTCAGCGTGGAGCCCGGTGCATGGCTTGAGCTTGTGAACCGTGAGATCATGACCTGAGCCAAAATCTAGAGTCAGACGTTTACAGTGTATTAAAGCAGGTTGCAATTACAGTGCTTCGTTTTGTGGAAGTACTGACATTATCCTGCTGAGAGAAAGAAAACCCGTGTTGGTCATTTTTGATTTTGCCTCTCTTAAGGGTGAAATCAGGACAGATTGACATGGACAGTCCTGAGGAGCCTTCACTCTGCAAGTCCCTTGCTTTGGTGCTGGAGTGGTGGGAGGCGTTCAGCTATTGTAAAAATTTCGCAGGAGCTTTTTTATGTGTGTGTGATGCACGATGCAGAAATGCCGTTTTGATGTTTTGAAAGAGAAGAAGTTCCAGAATGTCGGGGTCTACCCAGGGATGGTGGGTCACGAGTAGGTGGGTGGACTCCCACGAGGGGAATGGGCTTCCCTGCCAGTCCAGTCTCCAGAACCAGTGTGTTTTTCTAGCCTGAAATCCTGTGGAGAAGCAAAAATTCAATTTGACTAGTTCTTAAATACACCTAGCAAGTCACTTTTTACTCTCCAAAGAGCGCTTCAAATGTGTTAGGGGGAGGGAAACTGGGAGCCTTTGCCTTTCAAGGATTTTACGGTACTTAGAAGGCAAAGTGTGTGCTGGCCAAGGGCAGCGAGGTTGGGGTCAGACTCTTTGTGACCCGGGTATCTTTCCGTGCAGGTACAACTCCAAGAGGCGACACTGGAGAAGAACAAAGCTGGGTCTGTGAGTGATCCTACGTGAGATGGCAATGGCACGCGTTTCCCCGTTTATCATGCCGCTTGAATCCTGTGTTCCTGATGCGACACCTGCCCGTCACATGCCCCATACCAATAACTTATCAAGGAAATAACTTCTCTGTTACGTTGCTCCTGAACCAGTAGGTTGGTTCAGTAATAAACGTGAGGGGTTTTGATTGAACTGCTGTGTGTTCTGGTTTGTGGCGTACTGACCTCCCCCTCCTGTCCAATCTCACATAGCACTGCCCGGTAGAACTTTCTGCAGCAATAGAACTGTGCTTTGACTACCAAGTATTTGAAGTGGCCAGTTAAGTAGGCTTCCTGCCTGGCCCGGAGTCCAACACGGGACCCAGACTTAGGACTCTGAGATCAAGAATTGGACACTTAACTGACTGGTGGCAAAGCACATTCTTAAATAGGATCTTTAGATATTATTCTGTAATGCCAGTCTTGAATACAAGTAGGAATCAAGTGAACCAGGGGGTATCAGACTGGTCAGCCTGGTTTTGTATGGCCTGTGAACTAAATTTTCTGTATTTTTAAATTGTTGAATGAAATCAAAAGACTATTCTGACACACTAAGTTCAAACTTCCCGGGCCTTTATGTGCCAGGCACTGTTCTAGGTACCTGTGATTAGTTGATGGATAGACAGATACAGGTATATGTTAGGCTGGTAGTAATAGGCCAATAATGGAAGCCAGAGCAAATGTCTGGAAAAGGTGGGAAGGAACAGAAGTTCCCTAAGTACCTGTGGGACAGAAGTGAAAGTGAAACTACAGTGAGGGAAAGGGAAGTCAAGTTTGGTGGCCACCCCATATGTAGTTTGTAGGGACCCTGTGCTGGACGTGGCAGAGGCAGCGAGTGGTGGGAATGTCCTGGCATGGGGGTCCCTGACCCAGAACCACACTAGGAAGTTCAGATGATCATAATCCTGAAGGACCCCTATTTACCGGAAACTGGAAGAGTGGGATACAGAACACTGGCTAACCAACCTAGGAACCTGAGGGCTACTGATCTGGGGACAGCAGTGGGGTTTTGTTTTGTGTTTAAGTTTATTTGAGAGAGAGAGCAGGGGAGGGGCAGAGGGAGACAATCCCAAGCAGACTCTGCACGGCACCGCACAACCCCTCTGATGTGGGGCTCAAACCCACAAAACCATGAGATCGTGACCTGAGCCGAAATCAAGAATCCTACACTTCACAAACTAAGCCACCCAGATGCCTGGATAGCAGTGTTAACCTGCTAAAAAATCTTACAGAGATCCAAAGCAGAGGGGCTTGATACAATTGGCAGTCATGTGACAGAATTTCTAACTTTTGGAGTGTTGATACCTCAGCTTTGGGGCGCCTGGGTGGCTCAGTCCATTAAGTGTCCAACTCCGGATGTCGGCTTGAGTCATGATATGGTTCGTGGGATGTAGCCTCGCATTGGGCTCCATGCTGACAGCGTAGAGCCTGCTTGTGATTCTCTCTCCATCTCTACCTCCTCTGCTCACATACACACTCTCAAATGTTAAAAATAGCGCCTGGGTGGCTCAGTCGGTTGAGCGTCCGACTTCGGCTTGGGTCATGATCTCACGGTTCGTGGGTTTGAGCCCCGTGTCGGGCTCTGTGCTGACAGCTTAGAGCCTGGAGCCTGTTTCGGATTCTGTGTCCCTCTCTCGCTCTCCTCCTTCCCTGCTCATTCTCTGTCTCTCTCACTCTTTCAAGGATAAACATTAAAAAATTAAAAAAAAAAATAACCTCAGCCTCACTATTCAGAGGAGGTTGGGACAAAGCTAAGGTGTACCAGTGGACCTTAAACAGGTGTTAGAGATGAAAGGGAAAATGGCATGGACGCCAGGGCTGATTGGTCGTGTGTAAGGTGTTCCTTCTGAGCCTGGGGTTTGGGGCACAGGTCCTGGCTTCATTGGCCCCTTAGTAGCTCGTTCAATTGCCAGTATTTGTTTTCTCATCTGTGAAGGACTAGATCCGTGCTTCCTGAAGGGGGAATAATGAGAGCTCTGAGGCCTTTAGGATCCACATTTACAAACCCACCAGAAGTGTAGCATTAGAGGTCAGCTGTTGAAAGACACGGGGTCAACGCCACTGCCACTGCCCAGCCCTTGACAGCCTACTGAGAAGCAGGCGGCAGCAGAGGTCTGCCGTGCGCCCTGGACTCCACAGAGTTGGGATTCAAATCCTGCTCTTCCATCTGCCAGCTGTAGGCCTCCCGTGTCTTCATCTGTGATGTGGGGTCAATGGACGCTCCCTCGGGGGGCTGTGAGGACGACATGTGTCAGTACACAACAGCACTTGGTTTGGTGCCTGACCAGGAATGGGGAGTGTGGATCCCTCCCCGGCAGGCGTGAGCTGCGCGCTGGATAAAGCTAACGACAGGTAGTGGGGAGGGACGGCGTCCAGGGAGAGGTCAGGCAGAGCTGTCAATGGTCGTGCTCAGTATCAGCGTCTAGACAGATGCTGGTTCCCTTCCAATTCCCGGACTCTAATTGGGGGTACCTCAATCCCGCGGGGGCTCGGAAAGGAGGCTGGGCAGTGTGAGAGTTAAAATCCTGGGCCTTGCAATCAGGCCTCTGGTTGAGTCCCAGCTCCATCCTGACCCAACTGTGGAAACTCGATCTCCTAAGAGACTCCCCCCCCCCCCCCATCATACCTACCTTGGGTTTGTAAGGATCCATAATGTCTATGAAAGATCGTTCTACCAGGTCTTCTCCCATCATACAGATTTAAAAAGGTTATACAACTCCCCTGCTGATAACAGCTGACATGTCCAGTGCGTAACATGCCGGGCAGCTGCCGTTAGTGGGAATGGCGATAAGGACGAGACGGAATAGAGTGAAACATTATGCATTCACACTTCCCTGATCCTGTCCTATTCCAGAGAAGGGAACATCACACCGCTGCCCACGCAAAACACTGGTGGGTGTTTGGGGCGCCAGAGGCAAGTATGATCTGCCAGGCTACTGCAGTCAAGACTACACGGGGTGCCTGGGTGGCTCAGTTGGTTAAGTATCTGGCTTTGGCTCAGGTTATGATCTCGCGATTCATGGGTTCAAGTCCCACATCGGGCTCTGTGCTGACAGCTCAGAGCCAGGAGCCTGCTTCGGATTCTGTGTCTCCCTCCCTCTCCACCCCTCCGCCAGTCATGCTCTGTCTCTGTCTCTGTCTCTGTCTCTGTCTCTCTCTCAAAAGTAAACTTAAAAGAAAAAAAAAGACTACAGTCACATATGTATGGGCCTGTATGTCCATCATACCTGTATGTCTGGGAACAGAGGGACAGTGGCAAACCTTCATTGGATAAAACCAAGTGGGTCCACCTAAGTAAATGGTTTGATAGTCTTTCTTCACTGGGAGTGATTCTGCCGCTTACAGCCCCCGTGCCCCGCCCAGGGGACATTTGACAAGGCCTGGAGACCTCTTCCATTGCAGTGATGAACAGGAAGGAAGGTGCCGCTGGCCACCTGCAGGATAGAGGCCAGGCTGCCGCTAAATGTGCCCCAGTGCACAGGGCAGTCAGTCCCCCACGACGAAGGCTCGTCCGGCCCAAAACATCAATAGTGCCAACTTTGACAAAGCCTGGTTTCACGGCACTGCGACCCCCCCAGAGTGAGCTTTTTGACACAGATCTGCTGAGCACACCACTTCCCTCTTCTCCGCTTCACACTACTCTGGGGGTGAGTCTTAAAATGGCCCCAAAGAAGCAAGGCATGTCCTCTACCCCCTCTTCATTCTAAGCTGGGTCCAGCCACACTTCTCTGCCTTTCAGAGCACCAAGCTCCACCCTGCCTCCAACCTTCCCCCCACGCTATTCCCACTAGCTGATGTGCTCCCTCCTCCCCTGGTGAAACTCCCATTCATCTTCAGGTTGCAACCAGCTTTTCACCTCCACAGAGAGACCTTCCCTGACTTCACCTCCACAGAGAGACCTTCCCTGACTACTCCTCTCTCCCCTCAGTCCAGTTGGGTCCTTCTGCTTAGTACCTCTGAAATCACCCTGTAGGTTTCCTTCATACCTGCAACTGTAAAGGTGTGTATGTGTGTGGTTAATTAAGCCTCCCTCCCTAAACTGGGCTCTACCAGGTAGAGATGGGTCTATCTTGCTCGCTGCTGATTGCTGTCACCTAACACAGCATTTGGCACAAAGGAGGCACTCAATAAATTTGTTGAATGAGCCAGTGGATGGATGGATGGATGGGTGGGTGGGTGGATAAATAAAAGATGAATGGATGGATGGATGGATGGATGGATGGATGGATGGATGGATGAATGAATGGGTGGATTGATGAATGGATGGATCAATGAATTGATGGATCAATGAATGGAAAAACAGGCATGCAAGTGAGCAAAGAGTGGTACAAGCTGTGTGCCTGGACGTGTGTGTACAAGGAGGGGTGAGGGCCATATCCTGAAAGCTCAAGCACACCTCGAGTTGGGGATGGCACTGTTCACACCACTCACCCTCTTGTACAAGCACCTCCTTCACATCAGCAAGAGATTGAAGTACAGTCACTGACTCGGCCACTTGGGGCTGCACGTCTGAAGCTGCTGAGAGAAACTGGCAGGGGCAGCCAGACAAGACTCAGCTCTCAGCCTGACCTTGAATGAAACTGTTCTCTTGATCAATTTGAATGATTTAGATTACAGCAGAGCTGATTATACAGATGTCTTAGAGATACAGCAGCAGAGGCCAGACCCAAGTCATTTCCTAGAAGAAGCAAAAAAAAAGAAAGTTTAAATTCAGCACCTTCCCCCTCAAAGAGACCTCCTGGAATCCTAGACTATTTTTCATATTTCTATTAAAATACAGAAAGATGGGGCACCTGGGTAGCTTAGTCGGTTAAGTGTCCAACTCGTGATTTTGGCTCAGGTCATGGTCTTGTGGTTTGGTTCGTGAGTTGGAGCCTCACATTAGGCTCTGCGCCATCTCCTCTGCCCCTCACCCGCTCATGCACGATCTCTGTCTCTCAAAAATAAATAAAATATACAGAAAGGTACACCCATCTATTATGAGTATATAGCTCGAGGAATTTTCACAGGGTGAATCCAATTGTGAATTGGTGGTGGATCCTGACCACCACCCAGTTCAGGAAGCAACATGATTGGCATCCCAGAAGCCCCTCCTTGGGCCCCCCTTCCAGTCACTGTCACCCCCAGACGTAACCACTGTCCTAACATATAACA